AATCCATAAACCTTTTCATAAACAATTGCATATGCGTCATCCCAGCTATATCAGGACATATATAATTGGAGGATTACAGTCCAGGAGCAAGCCTGGCCAAAAAAATAGCAAGACCCTATTACAGAATAGCCAACATGAAAAAGGGCTGGAGGGGTCAGGTACCATCTAGCAAATGCAAGGCCCTAAGTTTAAAACCTAGTAATGTCGAAACAAAACCAAAACAAAGATCAAACATCCTGATCAAATTCATTTCAATTCCACAGATGCAAGGATGACTGAACATATGAAAATCATCAGTGCAACAAAAAATAAAATCAAGGGCAAAAATCACTTGGTCATTCAATAGGTGCTGAAAGGCCTTTGACAAAAGTCATTGTCTTGCTGGGTGTTCCTGGATCATGCTGTAATCCTAGCTACTTGGGAAGCTGAGATTGAGAGGATCATGGTTTAGACAACCATGTTCAGGTAAATTGAGATCCTTTTATTTTCTTCTAGCCGATGGATATTTAATTTTATAGTAATAATGAAAATGAAAATACATTATTGATAATTTCGCCAAAAAAGATGCTTAAAGAATGGAATATCACTGAGAAGGCAAATGTGACATAATCCATAATAGCAACGCCTTTTGCTTGCTTCCAAAAAGGGACATTTTCTGGCTTCCTCTTCCCTCCCCACCATCTTGTCAAGGCAGCTTCTTGTCATCATTAGGCCCTGACTCCAACATCACTTGTTTCAAAAAGCCCTTCAGCTGGGGCTACAGTCATCTGCAAGTTTGGGCTGGGCAGGCGATTCACTTCTCAGTGCTCACTCATATGGCACCAAGCTGATACTGCTATTGGTTGCAGGCAGAAACCAGAAGACCAGGACAAGGAATGCAATCTCTTTAGACATCTGTCCTTGGGAGTCACAATAGTTGAGATCCCTTTTCAATGAAGAGCTGGACAAAAGTGATAAGCATCTGTTAGCTACAATGGGAAGTCTAACAGAGCCCAATGCTGCCCTGGGATGTAAAAACAGGGCTGGAGGCATGGCTCAGCAGTAAGAACACCTTTCTAGCACACAGAGTGTTTGCCTAGCAAGCACTTCACCCTAGTACCACCAAAAACATTTAAAACATCTTTTCATGATAAAATCACTGAATAAACTAGGACTAGAAGAACATTTCTCAACATCATAAAGGCTATCTAGAAAAACCTATAGCCAACATCACACAAAATGGGAGGAAAACTAAATTCATTTCCTTTAAAGTCAAGGATGTCTTCTCTCCCCACTCTTACCTAATGTTTCTACATCTAGTCAGAGCACTAAGGTGAGAGGAAGAAATAAAAGGAATTCAAAAGGGAAAGAAGTCAAATTATCCCTATTTGTAGATGATCTGATCATATACTTAAAAGACCCCAGAGATTCTACCAAAAACAAAACAAAACCTTGCAGATCAGATAAACACTTTTGGCAATGCAGTAGGATACAAAATTAACCTAACAATGAATAGGCTAAGAAATCAGGAAACCATTCCATTTATAATAGCCTAAATAAAAAAAAAAACCTGAGAAATAAACTACAATGAAAACCATAAAACTTTCAAGGAACTGAAGGCACCGGAAGATGGGAAAATTTTCCCTGTTCATAGATTGGCAAAATTAATATTGTAAAAATGGCCACACTACCAAGAGCAATCTACAGATTCAATACAATCTCTATAAAAATTCCAATGTCATCCTTCAAAGAAATGGGGAAAAAAATCAGTCCTAGGGCTGGGAAGGTGGCTCAGTGGTAGAGCGTTTGCCTTGCATGCATGAGGCCCTGGGTTCAATTCCTCAGCACCACATAAGCAGAAAAAAAAGCCGGAAGTGGTGTTATGGCTCAAAGTGGTGGAATACTAGCCTTGCGCAAAGAGTTCAGGGATAGTACCCAGGCCCTGAGTTCAAGCCCCAGAACAACAGGAAAACAAAACAAAACAAACAGCATGATGCTGACACAAAATGACACATGAAGACCAATGGGACAGAAGACTCAGAAACAAACACACAGCTACAGTCACCTTAATTTCTATAGAAGTGAAAAAAAACACACACTGAAGACTGTCTCTTCAACAAATGGTGCTGGAAAAACTGGTATCTAGATGCAGAAGACTGTCTCACCCTATAAAAAAAAAAACAATTCAAAATGAATCAAATTTCTTTTTTTTGGGGCGGGGGGGTCCGGTTGTGGGACCTGAACTCTGGGCCTGGGCGCTGTCCCTCAGCTCTTCAGCTCAAGGCTAGCGCTCTACCACTTGAGCCACAGCACCACTTCTGGCTTTTTTCCTTTTTGCTTATGTGGTGCTGAGGAATCGAACCCAGGGCCTCAGGCATGCAAGGCAAGCACTCTACCACCAGAATGGAGACAACCCACAGGAAGGGAGAAAATATTTTCTAGCTGTTAAACAGATAAAGTATTAATATCCAGAATATACAAGGAGCTTAAAAATTAAACAACAAACGAATAATCTCATTACAAAATAAGAAAATGAATTGGACAGTCTTCAGTACAAATAGTAAATACATACATGAAAGAAAACATCCTTAGGTACAGAGGGAATGTAAAACTACACTGAGATTCCATCTGAGTAAGAATGTCTATCCTCAAGAAAAAAATGCTGGCGAGAATGTAAAAGAATCTTCATACACAGTTGGTAGGAAAGTAAACCAGTGAAATTAATATGGAAATCAGTATAGAGGTTTCTAAAAATAGACCTACATTATGACCCTACCTTTCCTGGGCATGTATTCAAAGGAAAGTACATGTTTAGAGAAGCACTTCACAAAAGCCAACTGTATAATCTGCTTAGGCACTACAAACAGCAAATGGATACAGAAAATATATGAATGCACCATGGATTTTTTTTTGTCAGTTGTGGGGCCTGCACTCTGGGCCTGGGTGCTGTCCCTCAGCTCTTCAGCTCAAGGCTAGCACTCAACCACTTGAGCCACAGTGCCACTTCTGGCTTTTTTTGCTTATGTGGTACTGAGGAATTGAACCCAGGGCTTCATGCATGCAAGGCAAGCGCTCTACCACTGAGCCACCTTCCCAGCCCCACCATAGATTATTATTCAGCCATAAAGAATAAAATTTTGCCATCTACAGGAAAATGGATAGAATTGGAGACCATCACGTTGAGCAAGACAAGCCACAATCAAAAGGCCTAACATCGCTGGATGCCAGTAACTCATTCCTAAAATCCTAGCTGCTCAAGAAGTAGAGATGAAGAGAATCACAGTTCAAAGCCATCCAAGCCAAAAAGTTTACTCATTGTTGGAGACCTTCCCATATCAAATAACTGAGCACAGTGGTGCATGTCTGTCATTTCAGCTACTGTGGGAAGTATAAATAAGAGGACTGTAGTCCAGGTGAGCCTGGGCAAAACGCAAGACCCTATCTCAAAAATAACTACAGCAATAGCTACACACACACACACACACACACACACACACACGCGCGCGCGCACACACACACACACACAGAGTGAGAGTTAAAAATAGGGGACGAACTTATTCAAAATACATTATACATTTATGGAATTTTTGCAGTGAAACTGCTAACGCATGCTAACAAAAAACAGGAAAACAAGCAAAAACTTTTCATTAAACTACTCTGAATGGTTTATCACTTAGAACTGGGAAATGCAAAGCTGAAGGTAAGTGGGAACCTCAGTACTATTAAAAGAAGCAATAGTATTAACTACCACTTGAGCTCCTAGAAAGGATATCGTTTCAGTTATGCAGTGTCTGTGTGCACACTTCCATGCTGATGGGGAGCCTCATCTCCAACACATGACTGCTACAATAAAAATGTCTGGTACCTTGCAGCTCAGTTTCCTGCCTAACCAACCTGAGAAGTTGGGAGAACAGGGAAAGTTTTAGAATAAACACTGGCAGCTTTAATGACTTTTGTGATCTGAACCATAGTTTCTACCACCTTAGAAATGACAGAAACACTAACATTCCCCATCTTCCAGAGGTGGGTAGAAAATCAAACTCTACATGTGGCTTTAGGTCTCCAGAATAGACAAACTCCTCACTGCTTCTACTGCATGGTGCCTGACAGAGTTTATGTTGGTCCTGTCTCAGAACACTTGGGCCACAGAGAACTGGTACAGTTCAACTTTATTAGGACTTAAACAGAAGCATCTTGTGTATACCACCCTAGAGATGTAAAATGGCTGTTCATTGTTTCCTGTGACCTGGGAAACAAAGTCTTTGAGAGCCCTCAGGAGAAGTGATTCCCAGCATTCTGGAATCCACATGCAGAGATGTTTCCCCTTGCATGGGAGCTGTGCGTGTAGGGGTGGAGTAATTCTGAAGTGACACGGTAGGAATCACAACTGGTTCACAGTGCACAGTTCATCCCAGAGAGAAACCAGAAACCAACATTATTCTGTAGCAAAACTAAGTCCTGGAAGTAACAAGATAAAACTAGCAAAAAAAAATTGCATAAGTATTTGGAAATAGGACTTTAGGGAAAAATTCTATGGTCTGGAGAGCACAGGTTTCCCTTTTCTCCATGCACAATGCAGAGCATAACTGTTCCCTAAGCTATGATTTTTTGTAGAGACAGATAAATGCATCATTACATATTGAAAGAAAAATTACTCTTTGGAAAGCCTTAAATGTTTCTTAAATTGCCATGTTCACTAAACACAATCAACATGGACTATTATTTTATGGCATTAATTATAGTCAAAGATTCAAGGAATTTTTTTGCTTTAAAAGAAAACTGGACTGATAGGTATCTATCATTAATAGGTATATTACAGAATATAAAAGTGAGCACAGTGACTCACACCTGTAATCCTAGCTACTCAGAAGGCTGAGATCTAAGGATTGTGGTTCTAAGCCAGCCTGGGCAGGAAGAGCTGTGAAACTCTTATCTCCAATAAAAACCAGAAGTGGTGCTATGGTTCAAGTGGTAGAGCACTAGCCTTGAGCTGAAGAACTCAGGGACAGTGCTCAGGCCGAGTTCAAGCCCCATGACTAACAAAAAAAAAAAAAAAAGGAAATGATAAGTTTACCAAGAAGCTTCAGGAATCTCATGCCCTAAAAGCTCCTTTTATCTACGTCTCCTCATATTAAAGTTTCAGACAGGCAGCCTAAGGGCCCCACTGGGTCCAGCACCAATGAATGTAAATATGAGATCACTGGTTTAAGGTAAGGAATGACTTTATGGGAAATGACTTGCTGTTTCTACTCTAATATGAGGCATAAAGTCTCCTGCTTTTAGAAAACTACAGGCAAGTGACAGGTAACCAGAAAGGACTGTGAATTGTGTAAACTGAAGTGAAAAGAATGGTTTGGGGAGGCAGACAGGTAAGCTCACTGAAGATGACAGACTATATACTAAAGGCAATCAAAAATTAGAATGAAGAGCTAGTCCAGTATCGCCACAATCTTTAAGATGAACTCTGATTCTACTGGAGTTCCATGTCAACAGTAGACTTGAATTTAAGAAGTCTCCAGTTAATTTCAACAAGTACAAATTATTTTTACATAGTAGAGGGATTAGTAAGAAACCAACTCAGCTCTATTCTCCCATCCTCTCATTCATGTACTCGTTTCTTGCTGGTCTTTCTTTTTAGTATATATCCCTGGACTTCCTCTTGCTTCTCCCTCATAGATAGAATCTATTTTACATTGTGTGTGTTGCTGGAGATGAACCAGGGCCTCACACATGTTCAGCAAAGGGCTCTACCACTGAGTCACATCCTTGGCCCTACAGATCAGATCTCTAACTGGCTTTTCCTTAACTAACATTGATGTTTTTTCTTCCAAACTTTCTACCTTAAAAAAAAAAGTCAAGATATCTTTTCATTGGCTTTAGATACTAAAGCCACAAGCAACAAATGCTGGTGTTTTTCTAAAAGTGCTAAATCCAGTGTCAAGTATGGCTTCCCTCCATCACACACCTCTTCTCTAGCACAGAGTTGTGCTCAGTTTCAGTTTTGCCAAGATCTCCCTGGTGACCCTTTCTCCCTTGATTAGTTCCATGGCACTGAAGGCTGAGGAAAAAAGGGAGCAAGTAGGCCCTGGCGGGGACTGACCTAAGAGACAGGCTGATATTTTTAGACAAGTAAGAAATGAAAAAAGTGTTTCTAGCTGTTCATTGGCAAGATTCTCTGTTCAGGTTCGAACTTGGAACTTTCCAGCTTTGGTCATGTATTTTATACCCTTGAAGGGCTTGTACTTTTCTCCATACATATCCAGACGGTTCACTTTGAGTCCTGGAGGGAAGAAAAGGAAGGAGACAAGAGAGAATAAATCATGAGTATTATTCCGAAGACAAAATTGGCACAATTGTTTATACTCATTTTAGCTCAGAGGTGAGCTGGAATTAATGGACACTGATAACCATAGCCACTTCTGTGCTGTCAGATTCTTGGCTCTTGGTATAAATATGGACAGTGCAACTCTGCTTCAATGAAGATGCTATCATAAAAAAATGACTTCTTGTTCTTATTACTTAACTGAACTCTACTTTATTAGACTTAAGTCTTTTAGTGGAGAAAACTAGGAATGTCATATAAAAGCTAAAGTCCATTTCTTACTACCTACAGTTTCTCTAAAAATTAAATAAGAATACATGGAAAGAACTCACAAGAGTGCCAGCACATATTGACTCTGTGTGTGTGTGTGTGTGTGTGTGTGTGTGTGTGTGTGTGTGTGTGTGTGTGTGTGTGTGTGTGTGTGTGTGTGTGTGTGTGTGTGTGTGTGTGTGTGTGTGTGTGTGTGTGTGTGTGTGTGTGTGTGTGTGTGTGTGTGTGTGTGTGTGTGTGTGTGTGTGTGTGTGTGTTGGTCCTGGGGCATGAACTCAGGTCCTGGTTGCTATCCCTGAACTTCTTTTGTGCAAAGTGCTCTACCACTTGAGTGAGAACTTCCACTTCCGGCTTTTTTTTTTTTTGGTAGTTTAATGGACATAAGAGTCTCATGGACTTTCCTGCCCAGGCTGGTTTCAAACAGCGATCCTCAGATCTGTCTCCTGAGTAGCTAGTATTACAGGTATGAGCCACTGGCATTCAGCTAGTATTAAGTTATTACCTCTGCTCTATGTAGGTGCAGAGTAGATTGACAATGTTCCAAAATTATATTAAGGACAAACATGAACATCTTTTGAAATTGGGAGAAAGAGGTGGACATTATTCTTTACTACTAGGAGTGGACATTATCCTTTACTACTATGAGCTAATATTCTCAGACCAAAAACTTTGGGAATCTCAAATCAACAATCCTGGTCTGTGACCCAACAATGGCCTATGACCCTGCTATCTGCCATGGCTACTACTTTTCACCACTCTCCCACTGCAAACTTATACCAGCACATGCTGGAAAAAATACTTATTAAGGCTACATAGCATGTAATAAAGTCAAAGTCCGTAACTACTTCCTTTTCACAGAACAGAAAGTCTAGGAAGGCTTTCTGCAATTTACACTTAGGAAAGAGCCACTACTCTCCTGGGAAAGCCTTGCAAGATGTGGCCACTTACCAGATATAGCCAACTGCTGGATTTTAAACTGCAGGTTAATTGTGGGGTTCTCATCTGGTTTAGAAGTCCCAGCCTGAAGACTCATGGTCCCCTTCAAACTTGGTAGCTTCTGAGGGTTTATTTTCCCTACATCCCAAGACAGCATCTTCAAAGAAAATGAAAACAGTAAGGTGGTCTTCCCAATACACTGTGGAGCCTTCATTTGAATTGGCTGAGCTTCAGCCTCAGGGCAGGTGTTTTTTAATAGAAAACACCAATTTGTTTTCTCTCTCTTTTTTTTTTTTTTGTCGGTCGTGGGGCCTGAACTCTAGGCCTGGGCGCTGCCCTTCAACTCCTCAGCTCAAAGCTAGCGCTCTACCATTTGAGCCACAATGTCACTTCTGGCTTTTTTTGCTTATGTGGTGCTGAGGAATCAAACCCAGGGCCTCATGCATGCAAGGCAAGCGCTCTACCACTGAGCCATCATCCCAGCCCCCTATTTGTTCTCTTAATGAACAATGTCCTTTAATGAATCTCATCTATAAAGGTTCCTGCAGAGCACTGGTTAACTTGAGCAATTCCCTACCTTTGTCACTGGGTCAAATGTATGTGCTCCCTGGGACGGAGTGAGGCTCATATTCAGGACTCCTCTAGGCATCTGACTGGTGACAATCACTCCCTCTATGGTCTTCCCCATGGTCTGTTTGGGTCCCACTGTTATTTCAAAACGTCCAAGTGAACTGCTGTCCCGGAAACTGATATTATGTTTGACATACACTGGGATTGCAACCAGACTGGAAAGAGAGACAAAAAGGGAAAAAGCTATTTCATTAATGTACTGCAAAGTGATATTTTGACATTTTGCTTGTACTGCAAAGTGGTATTTTGACATTTTGCTTGTGTTTGTTTGTGTGTGTGTGTGTGTGTGTGTGTGTGTGTGTGTGCGCGCGCGCGTGCACCAGTCCTGAGCTTCTTCTGCTAAAGGCTAGCACTCTACCACTGGAGACACAGCTCTATTTCTTGCTGTTTTAGTAGTTTAGTGGAGATAAGAGTCTCACTCATGGACTTTTCTGCTGGGGCTAGCTTTGAACCATGCTCCTCAGATCTCTGCCTCACAAGTAGTTGACATTTTGCTTTTTGTATGACTATTGTGGTGTGTGTGGTGAGGGGAGTGGGAGGAACGGCTTGGGACTTGATCTCAGGGCCTGGGCAGTCTCTGAACTTTTGTGTGTGTGATTGTGCCAGTCCTGGGGCTTGAACTCACAGCCTGGGTATTGTCACTGAGCTTTTGTGCTCAAGGCTCTTCTACTTAAGCCATACTTCCACTTATGGCTTTTTTGTTGCTTAATTGGAGATCAGAATCTCACATATTTTCCTGCCCAGGGTGACTTCAAACTGTGATCCTCGGATCTCAGCCTCATGAGATTAGATGTTTGAGTTACTGGTGGCCAGCTGTCCCTCAGCTTTTTTGCTCAGGCTGGTACTCTACCATTTGAGCCTCAGCTCCACTTTTGGATTTTTGCTGGTTAACTGGAGATAAGAGTCTCACAGTCTTTCCTGCTCAGGCTGGCTTAGAATTGCAATCCTCAGATTTAAGCCTCCTGAGTAGCATTAGAGGCATGAACCCCTGGGCCCAACTACATTTTGCTTTTTTTGTCCAATTGGCAGCTTTTCTTCCCTTACCTGTGTTCTGTTTGCCTTCAAAAATAAACACGGAGGCTGGGAAGGTGGCTCAGTGGTAGAGCGCTTGCCTTGCAAGCATGAAGCCCTGGGTTTGATTCCTCAGCACCACATAAGCAAAAAGAAAAAAGCCAGAAGTGGCGCTGTGGCTCAAGTGGTAGAGCGCTAGCCTTGAGCTGAAGAGCTGAGGGACAGTGCCCAGGCCCAGAGTTCAGGCCCCACGACCGGACCCCAAAAAAAACAAAACAAAACAAATGGAATAATTAGTATTTTTCCTTTTTGAAAAGCAATGACAGTGTGTAGGACATAGCTTCTGATGACTCTGAATAATGTGAATAAGATCAAGAGGCCTACTTGAGCCTACCCTGAGAAAGCCACAATGTGCAATATAAAGAGCCACTGTACTTGTTTATGGCATATGATCAATCATTTACATATAATAACACACCTCAGGGAGATTTCATAATTTTTGATGTGTGTGTGTGTGTGTAATTGGAGATAAGAGTCTCACTGACTTTCCTGCCGGGGCTGGCTTTGAACTGCAATTTCCAAATTTCAGACTAGAATTGCAGGCCCTCAGCTCTTTTGTAACTTCTTGAGAGTAGTTTCATTTGGCCTCAACTGATCCTCACAAGACCCCTAAGAGGTAGGCGAGGCTGTCATGATTTGATGAGACAGGAAATCTTAACCACAGTTTCTAACATTCATTAAGTACCTCCTTTGCACCAGTGATTATACTAAATGCTTTCTATCCATTTACTCCTTAGCTTATTTAAATCCACCAAGTAACTATATGACACAGAAACTGAAGCTACATGCTGTTTCCTAATGCGAAATAGGTACTGAGGGATGGACAGTATTTATGCCTTGTCCCTACACTTAAATGAGAGCAAGTTGTCCCAAGGTTACAAACCGTAAGAGTTCCAGGCAGGGTTGAGTCCAGGAAATCTGAACTAGCACTTATTCCCTAAGTCATTGATTCCAAACTGCTCAGGGAAACACTTGTAGCTCTGAGGTCTTTTGAATCACTTCGATAAACTCACCTCCTAACCTTCTACCATGCACCACTGTTTCCAAAAGTCTTTACACTCCAAATAAATAGAACATCCAAGACCAAAAGTCACTGCACTGATGTTTTTCATAGCATAATTAAACACTTTTTCAGGTCAGACAATTAAATAAAGGTACGCTCAGATTCTGATTTGAAAGGGAAAATGTTATTTAGATAAGATGTGTAACAACAAAAATAAATGAACAAACCAGGTACGGTATATACCTATTATCCTAGTACTGAGGAGGCTGAGATAGGAGGATCACAAGTTCCAGGCCAGCCAAGGATATACAGAGAGATACTATCTCACAAAACAACAGTAGCCAAAATGGTGACAAAAGCCTGTAATCGAATCTACTTGGGAAGTGGATGTTAGAGGATTTACATGCAAGGTTAGACTAGTTAGCAAACATTCTATCTAAAACTCAACTAAAAGTAAAAGGGCTAGAGGCACAGCGCAAATGAGTGCCTACCTTTACAAATCCTGAGTTCAATCTCCAGAACTACACAGCACAATAACAACATCAGTAATCTTTTTCTTTGGCAGGAGGGTTTCAGTACTGGGGCTTGAACTCAGGGCTTGGGTGCTGTTATTTAGCTTTCTTGTTAAGGCTGGTGCTCTACTACTTGAACCACAGCTCTACTTCAGGAGTTAATTGGTGATTAACTGGAGATAAGAGTCTCTCAGATTTTGCTGCTTCAAACCTTGATCCTCAGATCTCAGCCTCCTGAGTAGCTAGGATTATAGACATGAGTCACAATCATAATGAGCCCTTTCTTTGTGTTAAACATTATTTAAGTTCTTAATCTTCATGAGGTACTTTTAAAAAAAATTATTATTTTCAGGTAAGAAAGCAGACACAGGGTAGGGAAGAATTCACCAGAAGTGACACAATGACAAATCAGAGAAGCTGGAACTTGAACCCAGGTTAAATCTAGAGCCCAAGTTCTTAATTGCAACAGACATCATGTTCTCACACAGAAACAGGTTCCATTCCTAGTGACAGGACCACTTACTTCTGCGCACTGACGTGGTAGGAGAGCAGACGGAAGTTCCCATCAGGAGGGATAAAGGATAGGATTCGTTCGGATTCCCAGCGCTTGAAACGAACACAAGGATGGAAGCTGACATCGTCCAGCAGCCTGGGATTCTGCAGCACCAGGCAAGGAAGAGCAAGACTCCAGATCAGATATCCAGTTTCTTTTGAAGTGCTTCTGCCACTGTTCTTGTTGAGACACTGAGCCAGACAGCTCTGTGCTGCCCTAAGTACTTCCTCTTCTCCATGCCCACCACCTCAGAAGCACCCACATCCATCCCAAGGGCTCATGTTCCAACCCAGACCTTACCATGAAGGAAAGGGTGAGGTCTGGCATTCCTGTCAGCTTGACACAAGCATCGATTACACCCTGGATCTCAGCAGCCACTGTGGAGCCTGAGGCAGGAATAAGACTAATGAAGGTTTAGTGTAACATAATATTAGTGAAACCATGGGATCCTATCAAAATGTCACGTGAAAAATGAGAAAAAAGTATTTGGCTGATTGTAATTTTGTGGGAAACTTGGTTATTACTTGAGAATTACATTTGTTTGAATTAAAAAAAATAAGACAACATCTAAGACCTCTAAAGATTTCTTATTTCCTTTCCTCCTCCATTTCCTTTCTCTTCCCTCTCTTTTTTCCTCTTTTCTAGCCATCTAGCTCATGAGCTAGATCTATACTTCTTCCAGACATTTACTAACTGCACATCCAAAGACACTCTGATGAAGTAAAGGATACAAAAGGATGAATGGGATAGTTCTTAAAGCAGAATCTTTGAGCCAAAATCAATTTCCCACGAGAACTTCCCCCTCTATGGTTCCCAGTGAACACTGTTCTAATTACAGGAGTCTTTTTGCAGCCCTTGTGGCTCCTAGCCATTTCTTGCTGCTCAAAATGCTGCTCTTCTTTTTTTTTTTTTTTTTCTGGATGGGGGTCCGGTTGTGGGTCCTAAACTCTGGGCCTGGGTGCTGTCCCTCAGCTCTTCAGCTCAAGGCTAGCGCTCTACCACAGCGCCACTTCCGGCTCTTTTTCTTTTTGCTTATGTGGTGCTGAGTCTTTAAGCATGTCCACATCCCAGAGTTCCCTTTTGTCCCTATGACATTACAAAATTCTTTTCAATCTTCATATAAATGTAATAGCACAGGTTATAATTACAGACATTTAACAGTTTTCCTCAATATTGTGGGATTCTTTTATGTCATTGGTTAAATCCATAATTCATTCTTTCACTACTATATAATATTCTGATGGATAACCACATCAAAATTTATGTCCTTTTTATTGTTAATGTGTTTTTGCATTATTTCCCAGTATGACATATGAGAGGTTACTATGTCATTTGTCCTTTTTATTGTTAATGTGTTTTTGCATTATTTCCCAGTATGACATATGAGAGGTTACTATGTCACTTTAGCTTGAAATTCTCAAGGCTTAGTTTTCTCTTTTTATGCTTATCAGTCTTTATTTCTCAACAACATTTTGGGAAACACTCATTAGAATGGTTGCTCCAAAATCCATGCAGTCTCAAATCCTTCTGCTCACTCTGCTGATAAATCAAGCACAGTTGCTTCTGTATGCTGTGCTCAGATCAGCAGGACACTTTTTATTCAGAATTTTTTTTTTTTTTTTTTGGCGGTCATAGGGCTTGAACTCTGGTCCTGGGCGCTGTCCCTCAGCTCTTCAGCTCAAGGCGAGCGCTCTACCACTTGAGCTACAGCACCACTTCCCAGCAGGACACTTTTTATCTGTTCCACCTTTCCCGCTCTTCTGTCTGCATCACTAGACTAGCTTCAGATGTAGCTGTTACAGTACCCGCTCATTTTTCTTTATCACCAAATACCCACCATCGCCACTGTGCTGCAGCAACCCAATGAGTTTACAATAAGCATGTATTGGATAGGTAAATTTATCAATGTGAAAAGAAATTGCTGCAAATTGCTCAGCTCTTGGACTTATAACAGCGGTAGGAGTATGACACAGACATGTGTGTCATAACACCAAGTCTACTACCATCACCACAAACAGTGCCTGCTGAGGAGTCACTCACTCAAAAGCACTGATCCTAGGGGAGGAGTTCTGACACTAGCAATATCCTGGGAAGGGGTCTCTTTCTATTTGCATACCTGTGGAAGATCTTTGAAGCACCTACCTGATTTATCAATGATGGCATCGATCTCTTCAATCACATCAAAGTAGGCCTCGTTGTTGGTGTATTTCACCCCAGTCCGTCGCCAAGGCACCACGGACAGCTGCCCAGTTGGAAGCTGGTCACCTACATTGGTACTTCCTGAGACAATTGATATTGGTACTTTTAGAATCAAATTGATACTTTCGTGCCAGTTTGGCTCTAATATAACCAGAGAACACTTCCCTAGAAGTTTCTCTTCCCTCTGTGTTCATACACCATCAAACAGCAGACAAGTACTTCACAACTTCTTTATAGGGCAACACTCCATTGTCACCACTGCTCTGTTGCTCCAGCAGAATAAAGGTTTTTTAAAAAACCAGCTACCTGTGAAACAGATATCATATTTTGTTTTTCAAAGTAACATGAACTGAAGTATCTCAAATTCCACAATAGCTTGCAGCTTTAATAATGTATTGGCTTTCCACAGAGTTGGTAATTTACGTATTGTTATAAAATTTTCATGGCTAAAAAGAGCATTTTTGTTTGAGGTAGGTTCTTAAATATATTAATGGTAGGTATTAAAATGTACATGTCAACTTTCTCTGTCCCACACTAATACTGAAACTTAGGAAAAGAATATAAATCAGAGCCTTCCCTGTCCTTAAGAACTGTATATCCATTCACTGACCTGCTTTTTTCCAACACATTTACATACAGTTATCAAAAACTATTTTTTTACTTCTAAGATTTTAAACTGAAATAATAAGTATAATTTAAATTCCATTTCCTTCTTCGATTACCTGGATCTTTTTTTCTAAAGAAAGAAACAGCAAATTCATAGATATCCAGCATGTTTATAAAACATTTTTATTTTATTTTTTCCAAAGGGTCCTCAAATACTTCCACCTCTAAGTAGGATACTAAGGCTTAAATAACTTCACAATATCCAAAATACCCAAAAAGCTTTTAAGGCTTGAAATGAACTATGAATAGTGCAAACAGACCAAATCTGTTACTGAGCTAATACCATATACTTTTTTTTTGTCAGTCATGGGCCTGAACTCTGGGCCTGGGCATTGTCCCTCAGCTCTTCAGCTCAAGGCTAGCGCTCGACCACTTAAGATACAGCACCACTTCCAGCTTTTTCTGCTTATGTGGTGCTGAGGAATTGAACCCAGGGCTTCATGCATGCAAGGCAAGCACTCTACCACTGAGCCACCTTCCCAGGCCCCTATATACTTTTTTAATGATCAAAACTTCACAATACAGCCTGTATCTGGCAGGACACATTTTCTGTTGCTCTGTTCTTAAATTTTTTATTTTGTTTTGGTTCTTCTAACATGGCTGCTCTGTGAGCTTTTGCCTTATACACTATAAGAACTAAATATTCCTGGGCATTTCACAGGGCAAATCCTTCTAAAACCCTTGTATGTAATTTTTTTTCCAAAACGATCCTGGCTAGTCTTCAAGTTTATACCATTTTTTCCTTTCTCTTTCCTCTTTCTTCCTTTCTCTTTTGGGGACAGTGCTAGGGGTTGAACTCAGGTTCTTGCATTTGCTTAGCTGGGGCTCTACTACTTGAGTCACACCCCCCAGCCCTACTGTGCTTTAATTTCCAAACAAGTTCTCATGAGTTTTACTCGTGGCTGGCCTCAGACCACAATCCACCTATTAATGCCTCCTGTGTAGCTGGAATTACAGTGTATACCATCATGCCCACCTTGTTAAGATGTGGTCTCACTAGTTTTTTGGTTGGGCAGGCCTCAAACTGTGATCTTTATAATATCTGCCTTCCAGGTAGCTGGAATTACTGGCATGTGCCTCCATGCCCAACCTCTTTATACTTTTGGAAGTATATTTTTCAATTCATCAAATTCAATGAAACTTTAATTTACATATCAAACAAGACCCCAAAGTAAAACCTTAACAAAGCACAAAGATTACATTGACTAAGTCACTTAAAGTGTGGCAAGTGACAATTGTGAGAACCTATCTTTATATATTAAAAATACATAGACTCCTACACCTTGTCATGTGTATTTCTGTGATAGCTTTGTATCAGTACAAATTGGTAACTTTTCTAAGGGTCAATTTGGCTCAGTACATGAAAATTCCCTATAATATACATGTATCTTGGTCTAATACTTCCATTTCCAGTATACAAACATTAATCCTTTGTCATTTAAAAGGAAAACAATCATGAACATCAGAAAAAGGACTAAGTAAACAACTTAGAGGCCAGGTTAAGTTTAAATATTTGCATATACATATATACATACACACACACAGAGGATTTGTTACTTAAAATTTTTTTGTCCATCTATTATTTATCTGTGTAGAAAAGATAAAACAAGGCATAGTGACACATGCCTTTAATCCCAGGCCTGGGGTGTGGGTGAGTAGACAGCAGGATCTGGAGTTCAAGTAGGAAGTCTCAAAAATTTTTTTTTAAAAGAAGAGATAAGGTCATATGTACATAGCTTTTGAGCTTTTTGCTCATCTGATAAAATTATCTGAGACATATCCTAATTATTGCAAATGAGGGAAACCATGGGGAAAAAAAAACAAGAGAAAAAGAATGAACTGTATGGAGGATCTAATGAGAGCCTCTTTTTTTCCAAAAGTTGGAGTCCATGTTAATATGCTTCATTATATATAGTCTTTTGCACTAAGTGTTTGGCGTTTGTGATCTTGAGATCCCTGTTTAGAATATCTTCTACATATTCTAGTTCTTACAGATGAGGGAGATCACGTAACCTGCTTTTCTTTGGGTCCGGCTTACTTCACTTAATATAATTTTTTCCATTTCTTATGAATGGAACAATGTTATTCTTTCTGATGGAAGCAGAGAATTCCATTGTGTATATGTACCACATTTTCTTCATCCATTCATCTACCAAGGGGCATTTGGGTTGGTTCCAGATCTCGGCTATTGTAAATAATGCTGCAATGAACATCGTTGTACTGGTGGGTTTAGTGTGGCCTTGTTTGTGGACATTTGGGTAGATTCCCAGACATGGGATTGCTGGGTCATAGGGAAGTTCTATGTGTAGTTTTAAGACGATGCTAAGTGAAACAAATCCCAAGATATGGACACAAGTAGTTCTTCTTTGTTGTTGTTTTTAATGTACTATGAGATTGTTTTGTTTCCTTTGTATGTTCTTGCCCCTATGGTATATCTCCTGTTATCACTGTACTTGATATTGGCACCCTGCATCTTGTATATACATTTGTTCAATGCTGAAACAAAGACACAGGATAACCCATTGCAACAATGATACCCACAAGACAGTACATTGGAAATGAAGTTTACGACTTCGGGAGTGGGGGGAGGAGTGAGGGAGGGAGGGGAGGGAAGGGAGAGGGGGAGAACAAAGGAGAGAGGAACAATTCTCGACAAGAAATGTACTCATTACCTTACTCATGTAACTGTAACCCCTCTGTACAGCATCTTTACAATAAAATAAAATAAAAATTTAAAAAAGAAGAGATAAGAACTATATACTAAAAAAATGTTAAAAGTAGAGTGGGGCTGGATGCTTACACCTGTAAGCCTACCTACTCAGGAGGCTGAGATCTGAGGATCACAGTTCAAAGCCAGCCCAAACAGGAAAGTCCAGAAGACTCTTATCTCCAATTAACCACCAAAAAGCTGGAAGTGGGGTTGTGGCTCAAGAAGTACAGTGCTAGCCTTGAGCAACAAAAGCTTAGGGACAATGTCCAGGCCCTGAGTTCAAGCCCCAGGATTGACAAGTGTGCACATGCACACACGCACACGTGTGCACACATACACACACACAAAGCATATTGAATATTAAAGTGTTTTCATATTCTTTGTGCTTTTCTGTTTCTGAAGCTTTTATAATAATATTTTTCTTCTGTGATCAAACTCCTACTACTACAAATATTATTATTACTATGGTAGTGGCCGGGATTAAAGCCCCTGTACACACCAAGTTAGTAAGTACTCTACCATTGAGCTATACCCTAAGATCATGAATACCTCTTTTTGTCACTGAAATAAAAGTACCATCTATATAAAACAATATTACTTCAGATTAGACTCAAAGATCATGAGGAAATAGTGAAGCACTTGAATACTTAAAATTCTAGAAGATTCCAAACAATGTACACACTCCAGTAGCTATATTCAGGGTGGTAGCAGCTCTTTGTCATTGTTCTCCCCACCATACCTGTTATCGTGTTGACCACTGTTCGAAGGATAGTGGGAGGCTTTATCAGTTCTTTGAGGATATTTGACTCAGTAGCCAAGGGAAACCCATTGTCAAGCATCTCTTCCAATACCTCATAAACCACAACCACATTGTCTTTGATCACTGGCTCTGAACAGACTCCAAAATAGTCCTGGTGAAAATATAATACACACATTAATCACTCAGAGATGATTGTAAAAAAAACATATTCCTAAGGATCTGTCTGCCTACCATGTTTAGCTGGTGTTTTGGGGACATTCTTCCTCAATGAGGAGACTGGGCAGAGCCATATTTCCCTGAAGCAGCTTAGCTTGGTAGAGAGAGCTTGGACTGGTTTATAGTACTAGAACCATTAGATACTTTCTCTAGGAAGTCAACCTTGTAAGGGCAGTTGCCTCTACATGATAATATATAGAGAATAGAAGGCTGAATCTGGATCAACAATTTGAAAAAAAATATTCAAAGTCATAGTACTTCATATGACAGAATTGTATATGAAAATCTTTTTAATCCCTCTTGTGTTATTTCTCAATATTCACACATTAAATAAGAGATAAATAAGGGAGAGATGAAATGAGGGTTGGCTGGTACAGCAGAAAATCTCTTTGGACCATCTTTAATGGTAGAATTCAACAAATTCTTTGTCCTTCAATTTAAAAGACCATGCTTACATGGTCAGAATTATAATCTTAATTGTCACTCAGTAGGTTAAGTCATGTTAAATAATTTGGGTCTTGACTGATTTAGTGGTATGATCAGGATGACATCAGGCTGACATACTGGGGTGTTTTAAGAATAAGTATGGTTAAGTGGGGGATTTGGGGAGGGAAGGGATAGTAGGAGAAAAAACAACAAGCAATGTACTCATTACCTTACTCACATAAACCCCTGTACAGCATCTTTACAATAAAATGTTTTTTTTTAAGAATAAGTATGGTTGGTTAAACTGGGTACCTATGGCTCATGCCTGTAATTCTAGATACTCAAGAGGCAGAGATCTGAGGACAGCAGTTCGAAGCTGTCTCAGCCAGAAAAGTCTATGAGACTCTTATCTCCAATTAACTACAAAAAAGCCAAAATTGGAGCTGTGGCTCAAAGTGGTAAAGCATGAGCCCCAGGACCAACACCAAAAGAACAACAACAACAAAAGAACAACAACAACAAAAAATATAATTGGTTAAATGACAGTGTATGAAAGTATACACTAGAGCAATGTATGAAGACTATAAGGATTAAAGAAAAGCTTATAGTTGGCCAATGTAACATTCTAGCAACGTCAATCTGACTTTTACAGAACCTCTGAGAAAGTTGTGCAGCCCTTCTGAGATTGAGTGAGAGCTCTGATTATTAGAAGTCATTTCTTTAGCTAAGCTGAAATCTTCCGCCTAGCTCTACCTCACAGAGCCAGTTTATACAGCAGTCCTGCCATTCTTTGAAGACAAAAACTCAGGACCAAACTCGAGATCCATGTGTGCTGTGGTATGGTTTTCAGATCGTTTCATCACTTGCCAGTTCTTTGACACCCCAAATTGTAAAGACAGTACTAGATGCAGTCTAAATTACACCCAGTAATGCTAGGTACCAGTGAAATTCCAATACCCATGGCACTGAAGAGTCAGGAATGTATTTCTAAGGCAAAAAAGGAAGACTAAAGCTGTATGTATCATAGGTCCTTCCCCAGAACAATGTTATTTAGATAATAAAACACTTAGCTTGGGTTTTATAAACCTGGTAAGGAGATGGCAAGGCCTTGCAATATGACAAAGTGCTGAGCAAAAGCACATGTGGTTCTGTGACTGAACCCTTACACCACCCTGTAAGCACCAGGACAGAATATTCAGACATGTCCATGTGGTTTTGTTTTTGTTGTTTTGGGTTTTTGTGCCAGTATTGGGGTTTGAACTAAGAGCTTAGACATTGTCTCCTTTAGTTTTTTCATTCAAGTTTGGCACTCTACTACTTGAGCCACAGTTCCATTTATGGTGTTTGGTGGTTAATTGGAAGTTGGAGTCTTATGGACGTTTCTGCTGGGGCTGTCTCTGAACCTCAATCCTCAGATCTCAGCCTCCTGAGTAGCTAGAATTACAGGAAGAACCACTGGCACGCAGGCAGGACATGCCAACTTTCAACAACTACTTCAAAAACGACTAGCTCTGAAGTCCTGGAATTCAAAACTAGCAACTTTACCTTTGTTTTTCCATCTTCCTTTGTGGTTTGAAATAGATGAAACAGCCTGTTTTTTCACTTCCTACCTTTTAATAATGTACATGCTATTGGCTATTGGCTATGGGACTGTAACCATAGAAGGGGTAAATACGTGAGGACCTCATAACAGGGTTCAGGAGGAATTTACTCCTAGATTTTCCCCAGAGTGAGGCTTTCCTGTATATATGCCACATCAAAACTGGCATCCCAGAAAACCACTACCATCAGTGTTTATTCAGGAAAAAAAACTTTGAAAACAATTTTAATTCTCTTGGGGATGAAAGCAGCTGCAGTCATGTGATGCAGATGTGAGTGCAAATGAAAGAACTCTTTGAGTTGCTTTTGAGCATAAGCCTAGGTCCTTATCTCATTGTGCTAATTGCGGACATCACTCACACTGATGCAGAGGTTACGGATGGTGAGTGTCAGGGAAAGGACTCTACTGTCTGAACCCAGAATCTGGCGTGTTAAGCAGTGCTCATCTCCTGGAATCTCTCATCTCCCCACTACTCTCAAGATCTGAAGATCAAAAATGAAAACAGTACCTTGCAAAAGGTGTCACAAATTCTTCAGAAACTTATTTCCCAATCCTATGTTTGCAACAGAGCTCATCTTCAGCCCTTACCCAAGCCCAAGGCAAACCATGGACTCACAAATAACCCCCACAGGAAGACTTAAAACTAGGCATTACTTAACGTTTACTGCTTTTCCCTTCCTTTTCTTTTTGGCAGTACTAGAGTTTATTTTTTTTAGGAAACTTCACACACTTAACACGTTTGATCTAATTAAAGCAATGTAGCTAACAATGGCTAGCATTAAGTCCACCAGATTATTTTTAGCAGTTCTGAGATTTGAACTCGGGACTTCACAATTGCTAGGAAAATACACTACCACTTGAACCATACCCTTAGCCCTTTTCTTGCTTTATTTTTCAGCTAGGGTCTTAAGATTTTTCCCTCCAGGGGCCAGCCTCAGACCAAAATTTTCTTACATATGACCTCCCATGTAGCTGCCACCAAGCCCACCTTATTGACTAAGATGGGGTCTCGCTAATTTTTTGCTGAGATGGCCTCCATCAATGATCCTTCTTATCTCCAGCTCTTGAGTAGCTGGAATTGTAGTTGTGAGCCACCATGCTAGGCTCAATTTGTCATTTTGGATGTAGCCAATTCAGCAAACAGAATTAAAAATCTCATCAAATAGATGGAGAAAGCAAATAACATTTGTATTTAAAATTCTAAAAATTTTCTTAACTTAAAAAAGATTTCTATCTGGGCACTCGTGGCTCATGCCTGTAATCCTAGCTACTCAGGGAGCTGAGATCTGAGGAAAGCAGTTTAAAGCTAGCCCAGGCAGGAAAGTCCAAGAGACTCTTATCTCCAATAAACCACCAGAAAATTGGGAGTGGCACTGTGGCTCAAGTGGTAGAGTGCTAGCCTTGAGCCAAAGAGCTGAGGGACAGTGCCCAGGCCCAGAGTTTAAGTCCCACGACCAGGAAAAAAAAATTCTAGGCCAGGTGCCAGTGGCTTACACCCAGAATCCTAGTTACTAAGGAGGTTGAGATCTGATGATCACGGTTCAAATCCAGCCCAGGCAGAAAAGTCCCTGTGAGACGTTCATCTCCAATTAACCACTCAAAAAATGGAAATGGCGCTATAGCCTTCAGCAAAAGAGCTCAGGGACAGTGCCTAGGCCCTGAGTTCAAGCCCCACAACTAACAAAAAAAAATTCTAGCCAGGTGCTGTTGCTTCATGCCTGTAATCCTAGCTACTCAGGAAGCTGAGATCTGAGAATCATGGTTCAAAGCCAGCCCAAGCAAGGTAGTCCATGCGACTCTTAATGTTCAATTAACCACCAACAAGCTGAAAGTGGAGCTGTGTGGATCCAGTAGTAGATCCCTGAGCAGAAAAGCCAAGGGACAGCACCTAGGCTCTGAGATAAAGACTAAGGACACACACACACACACACACACACACACACACACACACAATTTCTTAACACTAACAGACATAGGACTATATATACATTTTACAGGTTACATAAACTTTTCCATATTCACAAACCTGGAATGTGTCCACTACTCGGTGAAGGAACTCAATGACAAACAGAGGTGGGACCTCTGTCTGGATCACAGCCACAAAGAAGATCTTGTGGCGGTAAACACTTAGGAGATAGTGATGAGGGGTAGGGATGACTGGAGGCACATTTTCTGCCTCAGTAGCTCTCTCCTGTGCCTCAAAAAAGTAATCACAAACAGAACGGCTGACCACACTTTTCCAATGTTTCTCCAAGAAAATGTCTCCAGAGGAGTTGATCAAGAAAAGACTATGAATCATGGCGGAGATTATGGATGGGAGATGGAAGTCTTTTTAGTCAGAAAGCCTTTGGACTCTTAAAAGTCTTCAACCCTAAAAACAAAAGAAGTTTCATTCAGTTCCATTTAAACAAAACACCTTCCTCATCTTTCCCAGTGGTCCAAGATTGCACATTTTTCAAAATTAGGCTTAAGTCTTTCTGTATTATATAAGCTTGAAGAATCCTTCTCATGATTCTTATTATCTTATTTATTTTGTGCTGGGTCCTGGGACCTGAACTCAGGGTCTGTCCTTTAAGTTTTTGCCCTTAAGGTTAGTGTTCTGCCTCTTGAACTACAGCTCTATGTCCAGCTTTTTGATGGCTAATTGTACACAGAGTCTCCCATATTTTCTTCAAACAATGATCTTCAGATCTCAGCCTCCTAAGAATCCTCCTAAGGATTACAGGTGTGAGCTACAGGTGCTGGGCCTTCCTAAGAATTGCCACGATAATTAACAGCCATATCATTGTACTCAATTACCTTTTCTAGTGACTGAATTATATCCATTTGAAATACTGCTTCATGTTGGATTCCTGTTTTCAACTGAGAACAGGGGACAGAGCCTCTGCCTCAGTTTTTGTTGCCTTACTGCTGCACAATATCTTCCTGCACACTGATAAGCTTTAAAGAAAACTGGTGACTTTGCAATCATTATTTTGGGCACAATTCACATATACCCAAGAAATGTGAGGCTTAATATAGTAGGGGCTGAGGAGGTGGAATTCAGTAGTAGAGACATGCTAATGACACCATTGGTCCCCAGAAAAGGAAAAAAAATAAACATGTTAGTCACTAGCTAAATGGGGCCAATGAGCATTTGCACTGCGGGTGGTTGAGAATGTGCTGTTAGATATACAACAGTGGACACCAGTAGTAGCTCACACCTGTAATCATAGATACTCAGAAGGGTGACATCTGAGGACTGTGGCTCAAAGCCAGCAGGAAAATCTTTGAGACTCTTATCTCCAATGAATGATAAAAAAAAAAAAAAGCTAGAAATGGAGCCTGTGGCTCAAGTGGGTAGAGTGCTAGCCTTGAGCAAAAAAGCTCAAGGCCCAAGCCCTGAATTCAAGCCCTAGGACCAGCATGAGCACACATGCACACGTGCACACGCACACGTGCACACGCACATGTGCGCACGTGCACACACACACAAAGTAAGATATACAATAGATTTCTGAAGGCTTTAGGTAGTAAAAGAATTTTAAATATCTCATCAATTAATCTAATACTGATTGTAATTTGTAATAATGTTTTAATATATTGAGTTAACTAAAATATACAAAAAATTAATCTGCTTAATATAGATACTAGAAAATGTAAAATTACATATGTGGTGTGCTTTGTATCTCTAACGCCTATGGGATGGTAGGGTGCCATTGTGGTCTTGATTCAAGACCCCCTTCCTCTGAGCACTTGTTTGCACTAATCTCTTACTGGGTGCCAAAAAAGAAAGGGGAGAGGAAAAGGGGAGAGAGGAGGGGAGAAGGAGAGAGGGAGGAAGGGAGGGAGAGAGGGAGAGTGGGAGAGAGGAAGGAAAGAAGGAAGGAAGGAAGGAAGGAAGGAAGGAAGGAAGGAAGGAAGAAGAAGAAGAAGAAAAAAAAAATACCACCTCTGGAGGACCCCAGGTCTCTCAGGCTGCAGCATCTCTAAGGTGCTAGCTGCCAGGACAAGGCAGCCAGGCTGAACGCTGGTGGACCTTTGGCAGAGGCCTGTTGCACCAAGCGTCCGGGGTGAGCTTAGTCACTGGAGCAGATCGCCAACAGGAGGGGAGGCTAGTGAGGCTGTGGAGGCGAGGCGGGCCACAGGGGGCTTATTTCTGCGCTGGTCCCAAGCGGTAGCATGCCAACCAATGATGGAGGCCCTTCGGGGAGCGGGTGGGCCGACAGTGGAAGATAGAAGGTGGGGAATTAAAACCAGCGCATGTCTCGAGGGTGAAAGGGACCGGGTACCAGGGCCTCGCCAGCTAGCACACATGCGTTGCCATGGCAGCAATGGTCCCTTCTTTCTCCGCCATCTGGTAGGAGAGGACCACCTCCTCGAGCCCACTACTCTATCCCTTACCTTCTCCCATCGCCAGCCGAAGCTCTGAGGATCCAGCCAGCGCCACCTCGTGACTCCGCCACGCCCCGCGCCCACGCCCTGACCCTCGCATTCCCCACCCCCGCCTCGGCCAGGGTCGCAGTTCCACTCACCCGCGGAGCTCCTCGCAGCGCCCAACGCTCAGCCGTGCAGAACGCTCCGCCCCCGCGCTTACCGGACGCCGCTCGCACGCTGATTGGCTGGCAGCCCGCCTGCGACCCAGCTCTGACGGCCTCTGATTGGGCATCGGGGATCCGTTCCTCTCCTCTGATTGGTCGCCGTTCGGAGCTGATCCCGTGGTAGGGCTCGAGCCGCGTATTGGCCCTTGTGGAGAGGCCGGTAAACCGGATTATTGCGGCTGGGTAGCTGAGAGACCTGATTAGAGGACAAGGGCGGTCTTCCGGCTCTCTGGGAGCCAGTCATCCAGTCACAAAGTACTCGGTCGGCCGCAGGACTGCCACCTGCGTAATTGCGGCTGCGCCTCCCTGGGGACGCCCAGGATATGCAATGGGAAGGAAAGGGCTTGTTCAAGAGCACGGTTTATTCAACAGCACCTCTTGCGTAAGCAATCATTACATAGGTGCGTTTACAAAAAGACAGCCTTTTCATTTATGTGCATTGGTTAAGCCACACGTGCTTGGCTGCACAACCTCTCATCCAGAACTCTGGACCAAGATTCAGGAGACATCTTCCCACCCCACCTACACCACCACCTGCCTGTCCTTGACATAGCACTCACCTTTCAGGATCTCAGTTTCCACGTCTGAAAATGAAGGGGTTGGGCAAGTCTCTCTCCAAATTGCTTTGGAACTGTAGAAACTGATCCTATCTTAAGTGGTTCAAGTCTCTATGATTCATAAAAAGCAAGGCATTAAGGAAGAGGAAGTGTGGAAAGGGTTGACCCAAGTTCCTAGCATCCTATCTAGACCTCAGTATGTACTTTGGTAAAGCAAAATGTAGGTAGAAGGTCCGTGCACAATGCCTTTGTTGAAAGTGGTATGGATTGTTGTTTGTCATACATGCAGAGGACAGATAATCGTCTGATTCAGAAGAAAAGGAGAAGAGCTGAAAGCAGAATGGCTGGATGCTGCAGTATTGTGTAAACTGAGCAGCTGTGGTGTCTGAGTGCTGAAGTCAGAATCTGGGTCAAATACTTCCCACCCATATAACGTTGAGAAGGTACTTTCACTTTTCCAACTTCAAGTTTCTTCTCAAATTAGGACACTAATATTCCCTGCTTCAATAGAGTGGTTGTGAGAGGCTTGTGTTGGGAAAGTGCTAGCAATTGCTATTACCTAATAAACATTACAAGACAGAGTAATATGTATTACTATGTGTCTATGGCCCAGAAATACAATCTCTGCCATGGGCATTTCTCATTCACTTACTGAATTAACATTTACTAAAGATGCTGTAATGATTACTACCACAAGTGTAACTGGCAAAACAAATAAATAGTTATAATACACTGAAGACATCCAGAAACATCTGAAAGATGTGCTGGGAGAGAAGGCTGATCTAAAGATGTCCTTCTAAACTGAAACCTGAAAATGCATGTGAGTTCTGCAGAAGAAGGAATGCAAGGATATGGGAAAGAGTACCAATGGGATGTCCTGGAGAGCTGAGCTAGAATGGGAGAATAAGTGCAGGAGATGAGATCAGGAAGGTACATAGGAACCAGGTAGTTGTCAGACTCAGAATAACTATTTACAGAACACTGAGTTGCATATCATCCATTCAATTTAATTTTAAATTTGTCTTATCTGTAGTTGTACAAAGAGGTTTAAATTCAACCTATCAATTTATGAATACATTTTGATCAATGTCACTCTACCATTCTCTTCCATCTCTTCCAACCCATCTATCCCCTCAAGTTACCTGTTTCCATTCTCACATGTACACTGAGTATTCTGACTGTATTTGTCCATACTTCCTCACTCCATTTGTCTTTCTCCATCCTTGACCTGCCCTCCTGACAATAGTATTCAGTTTGTTAAACTAAGTTAGTTACTCAGGTTGGTCCTGATCTCTTATGTTCAAATGATGCTCCTGGTTAAGTCTCCCAAGCATTTGAGACTATAGGAGTATTCAGTGAGCCTTCCTGTATGGCAAGCTATGTTCTAAGACATGGATATATCACATCACTGAAGTTTGGCATGGTGGCTCACACCTACAATCTCAGCTACTTGAGAAGCAGGGATTTGTGGTAAGATTGAGATTTGAAACCAGCAGAGCAAAAAGTTTGAAAGACCTAACTTCAGTCAATAGTTCAGTCTCCTGTGGAAATCGCTGGTAAACCAAATGTTCTTTACTGAATGGCCACCATGGAGGGTCCTATCCAGAGGCCTAGCTTATACCTCAGGGTTGAGATGTTCCATACTTTATGTGTAGAATATTGTCCCTTTGTCATACTCAGTATATATAACCTCCTGAGTGAGGGAACACTTTAAATGACAATGACCCTTGATATTTTATCTCCAACACTAACCCCTTCACAAGCACTCAGACCCATATATACAGTCACAAATTCCTAGTTCACAACTCCAATTATGTCTCTCAGACACTATAATAGACCCAAAGAGTTTCTATCCTAGTCTGTTCTTTCTCCAGCTCTAGTTCACATCTAATTTTTTTTTTTTTATGTGTGTGTGTGTCTGGTCGTGGGGCCTGAACTTTGGGCCTGGGCGCTGTCCCTCAGATCTTCAGCTCAAGGCTAGCACTCTACCACTTGAGCCACAGCGCCACTTCTGGCTTTTTTTTCTTATGTGGTGCTGAGGAATCGAACCCAGGGCCTCATGCATGCAAGGCAAGCGCTCTACCACTGAGCCACCTTCCCAGCCCACATCTAATTTTTTGTATCCTATCAATGACCCAATATTAACACACCTGCTGCAACCAATACCCACAAATCATCCTTAAATCCTCACCTGTCATCTGATTCAGAGGCAAGACATGTTGACTCCACCTCTAAATGTCAACTCTATTTTTCCTTTCCAAATTCAGGCCACTATCACCTCTGGCTTGGAAGACTGTAACCTCTTCTGCACTCATCTTTCTGCTCTATTTCCACACTCTTTAATACCTTTTGAAACTGGAAACATCTGCAGCTTGGGTTTATCCTTGTATTCTCATACCATAAAAACAAATATCATCTGTCCTCACCTCTATCTCCAGTTGACTCTCTTGACACTTCCTATATCCTTTAGTCCAAGTTCCCAGCTTCTGGGTCTAGAAAATGTTTTCCTTTGCCTGGAAGGCTTTCCCCCTGTCTCCACATAGCCAACCCTTGTTTTTCCTTGAGGTCATCTTATGTTACAGCTGCAGTTTTGCTCTGAAGTCCTCTCCCAAGGCTCCATAGGTTAAAAAGGCTTGGCACCATTGTGAGGTGGTGGAAACTTTGAGATGTAGATCCTAGTGGAAATTCTGGAGGATGTTTCCATGAATGGGATCATGAGATTCAGTTTCCTTCTTTCTTTTCCAGGCTAAGGAATAAGTAGTTTTGCTCTGCTTTATGCTTCTATCACAATGTATTGCCTTGCCATGGGCCAAAATCAACAGGTCCAAGGATAGACTGAAACCTCTGAGACTTACCAGAAGCAAAGTTTTCTTTTGGTAAGATGAGAATCTCCAGAATTTGTTGCAGTAATGGGAATCTAACAGTTACTTTCTTAGGCAGTCTTCTATTTCCCCTTTATCTAACACTAGCCCCCATCTTGTTCATCTCATATCCAACTAGGTATTCTGTCTCTTATTTATAGCATCATACAGCTTGTAATTATGGTGCTATTTCTCTGTTGTCTTTTTCTTTGTTTGTCTTCCTGTTTGCAATATGTGTACCTTGGGACAGGCACTATACATATCTTGCTCGCCCATGCCTAATATGGTATCTGGCCCTCAAGAGATCTCAATAAATGGTTTTTGACTAAATAGAATGTTCTGATTACTTCTGTTCACCTATTGGTGATGGAGAGCTGTCTACTCTATAAAGCATAACATGACACCTGGTATGGTGCACTCTTGTAATCCAAGCTATTCAGGATGCAAAGATAGGACGATCACAATCTGAGGCAGCCTTGGCAAAGTTAGCAAGCAACCCTTTCTGCCAAAAAATAAAATGCAAAAGAGGTGGAGGCATGACTGAAATGGTAGAGCACCTGCCTAGCAAGTTCAAGGTCCTAAGTTCAATCACCAGCATCACCAGAAAAAGGAAGTATGATCTGTCCAAACACCTGACTCCTGACACTGTATGGATGCAATTGATAGCAGTTTACCAGTGATACACACTTAGCTTCTGAAGGAGGAAGGCACTGAATGCCTGGCAGGGTCCATGTTGTTGCTCTCTGGAGTAGAGAATAGTATCTATGAAAAGCGGGCTTGGTAGTGACAAGATAGTGAGATGCCACTTCTGCCCTTTAGGGCACATGATGAGCTGATTTGAATAATAAGGTGAAGACCTTTCTGTAGGCAGGTGGGTAAGGTCGTATGTAGTGCAAGCTGGTCACTTAGGCTTTGTTAAACCATCATTTGAAGTTTTAGGTTTATAATACATGGATCTAGGCTCTGAGCAAGAGACTGAACATGCCCGCCACAGTGGGGAAAGGATGATACTGTTTTATTACATGACTATGAGTCCTGCAGTGTTATATGTACACTCTACTAGATGAGCAGATCTAGGGAGGCAGCTAGTACAAAACTGTTATTCAATGAACTGAATTCCTATTTTTATCCTGCAGGAGAACCAATGGGGATTATATTCAACCATGAATAACAGAAAAGCCATATAACACTGGCTCAAATAAGAAAGGGATTTATTTTTTCTTGTATATTATGAGAAGTCTGGAAATGGTAAGTCCAGGACAGCAATGATAGTTTCCAGCCAGGGTTCAGTTTGTTGAATTTTTTTAAGCTACTCATTCCACCATCACAGTGCAGTGCTTTTATTCCCATAGAATATTGTTGCTGGGGTTCCCTTTATTAGGTTATCTTCCAGGCAAGAAGGGAGAAAAGATAAAGAAAAAATGGACATGAGCCAATTGAATCACTTTTTTTTTTTAAAACTAATGACTTCTCCGGAAGTCCCACTCATGCTCTATTGCTCAGAATTGAACTAAAAGAGGTTCTGGGATTGGTTTTAGTTTAGTTGTTTTTTTTATTTTTATTTTTTT